TATAACTATATCGAGCTATAAATAATAGTGATAAAAATTTTCAACCAATCCAAGGACCTATAACAATGACTAACATTATTATTGAGACGTTGACCCTAAGGAACCGGTAAACCATAGAATAGAGGACATAATTAATGGCATAGAATTAGAAGATTATCAATTAAATAGTGCAGGTATGCTAACTATAACATATGCACTAAATAAACCATCTCTAGCTTGGACAGGGGAAAATGGTGAAATTGATCAAGAAATGGTTTCAGATTGGTTAAATAAATTTGTTGTCAATGATAATAAAAGTAATATTACCACTGATGAAACTAATAATAATAACAATAACAGTGGCAGTGGAAATGACAATAACAACAATAATGATATTAATGCAAATTCACCAATTAATACAAAACAACCTTATAATCCTTTACCATATGGTGGTTCATCAAATAATAATGATAATCTGCCACCAACAATACCATATGATACAAAACCTCATAAAACAACACCACCAATTATAATGAATAACAATAATCAAAATACTTATAAAAAATCAATTAACCTTGAAAATGCTTCAAGTCATAATCATGGTCAACATTATAGAACACCATTATCATCATCACTACCACAACGACATCGACCATTCCAACAATATACAACAGTTTCACCACCACCACAACAGCTACATACATTTAAAAATGATGCGAATAATATCAATATTGATTCATTAATTGATTCTAGACTAGTTCCATCATCTGTAAATAATAATATTAATCTTAATAGTAAAAAAGAGTGATAGTGAAATCAATGAAGTGTATAGTGATGCTAAAATTGACTCTAACAGCAAAATCATTGTTTGTGGACAACCTGGTATGATAAATGTTGTTAAACAAACACTAAAAAATCTAGGTTATACTGAGAAAGATTTTATATTAATAATATAGAAAACCTTATCTAAAATTACATATATATAATAATTTATTTATTTATATTCATTTGTTCTGTAAATTAATTTTAATTGTGCTAATTTTATAAAAAAGAAATGGTGAATGTACATTTATTTATTGTTATATGTTTGTTTATTTGTATTTTTAATTGTACATAAACAATATTTGCAGCCATTCTTATCCAATAATCAAAATTTTTCCATATAAATTTACAATTTAAAAATACTGCCCAATATTTAAATTTAGCAAATTGGTCAGAATTTAACATCATCATTGTACTACTATATAATAACAGTATGGTATAACTTGCAGTATTATTATTGAATGATCTACTGCACACCCCCACCACTTAAAATAAAATATTTATTTTCGGTTTCATTTTTCTCACATGAAGCACTTATGGCATCATTTTGTTTTAAGGTTTTGAAGTTTTGAAATGATTTCGAAGTTTTAAAATAGTTTTGGAGTATAATATTAAAACAGTTTCTGAGTTTCAAAATAGTTTTATTTGAATAAAAGTTCAATCATTTGATATAATTGAATACTAAAATTAATCATAAACTCTTTTTTTTAAAAAAAAAAAAAATGTGTAGATATGTTCTTTGACATTTGTCCCCTAATGCAAACTATTATTCTATAGTACTGTTGTATGTGAAAATGAAATCTGTGTGGATTTTTAATTCACATATATGAAATTCAAATTAGCCGATCAGAATTTCATATCAAAACACCCCACCCCAAAAATTTAATTATAATTTCAATTTCAATTTCACATACAATAGTACTAAAGTATAGTACCATTTCATTTTTTTGTACAAAGTCATCAATTAATAAAATTTGTGACATTTTTCCTCTGCTGATCCCTATTTAGAGTTCATTCATTCGTTTACAGACAGATCGTCAATTAAATGTTCTAAATTCAAGTATATTATGCAATTCATTATAATAAAGGCATTTTTATTATATATAATTATTTCCAAAATAATATTAAATTTCAAGTCAGTCCAAGCTTGAGGTGAGTTCAATTTAATGCTTGAGTTGGCTCATATTATCTATTGAGATTACTTAACAAACAAAAAGGAATTATCAGAGGAAATAAAGGAAAATATTATATACAGAAAGGTTCTTTTTATGGAATACATATGTAAACTTGATAAGTCAGTCATGTGTAAGGTTGTGGGTGAAACCTCTTAATGACTGTCGAAACTCTGTCGAAACTCTAATGAACAATTAATGTGTAACCTGTCGAAACTCTGATG